AGTCCCCTCTCTCCCCCTCATTCCCGCCCTCAGTCCCCTCTCTCCCCTCATTCCGCCCTCAGTCTCCCCTCTCCCTCTCATTCCTGCCCTCAGTCCCCTCTCTCCCTCTCATTCCCGCCCTCAGTCCCCTCTTCACCCCTCATTCCCGCCCTCAGTCCCCCTCTTTCCCCCTCAGTCCCCCTCTTTCCCCCTCAGTCCCCCTCTTTCCCCCTCAGTCCCCCTCTTTCCCCCTCAGTCCCCCTCTTTCCCCCTCAGTCCCCCTCTTTCCCCCTCAGTCCCCCTCTTTCCCCCTCAGTCCCCCTCTTTCCCCCTCAGTCCCCCTCTTTCCCCCTCAGTCCCCCTCTTTCCCCCTCAGTCCCCCTCTTTCCCCCTCAGTCCCCCTCTTTCCCCCTCAGTCCCCCTCTTTCCCCCTCAGTCCCCCTCTTTCCCCCTCAGTCCCCCTCTTTCCCCCTCAGTCCCCCTCTTTCCCCCTCAGTCCCCCTCTTTCCCCCTCAGTCCCCCTCTTTCCCCCTCAGTCCCCCTCTTTCCCCCTCAGTCCCCCTCTTTCCCCCTCAGTCCCCCTCTTTCCCCCTCAGTCCCCCTCTTTCCCCCTCAGTCCCCCTCTTTCCCCCTCAGTCCCCCTCTTTCCCCCTCAGTCCCCCTCTTTCCCCCTCAGTCCCCCTCTTTCCCCCTCAGTCCCCCTCTTTCCCCCTCAGTCCCCCTCTTTCCCCCTCAGTCCCCCTCTTTCCCCCTCAGTCCCGACCCGGTTCCGCTGTCCTCTGCTGGACTCCCTGTCCCTTCAGTGGCTGGAGCTCAGGTCCCAGAAGCGGCCACTCCCAGGGCAGGAAGACTGGTCCTGGCCGAGGGGGCTGGCGGGGTGCTCACCTCGCAGGTGCAAGGCTATGGCCTCATGCAACGGGTAGTTGTGTCTGCACACGGTGTCCACCGCGGCCCGCGTCCGCTCCAGGAGGTCCTTCTGGCTGTTGAAGTACTCGGCGTCCGGCCGCCCCAGAGGAGTCAGGGCGCGGAACTCCCCCACGTCGCTGTCGAAGCGCACGAACTCCTCCCGGTTGTAGATGTATCTGACCAGGAACCGCACGCGCTGTGTCCCGTTGGTGAAGTAGCAGAGGGCCTTACCCTGGAGCATGAAGTCCCCTGCGGGAGCCGCCTGTCAGGCCTCAACCCTGGCCAGAGTGGCCTGCAGGCCTGGGACCTTCCTCAGGGACAGACCTGCAGCCCTGCCCCCACCAGCGCCTCCATCCTCCCTCCCCCTCTTCCCCCCTCCACCCTTCTCCTCCCTCCACCACCCTGCTCCATGGCTTTAGGTACTGCCTGCAAGTAGAGAGGGGACAGAGGGGACACAGTCTCCTGGACGCCCTGGGCCGGGGATCCCCTCTGAGCCTGACACCAGTTGGGCCCACAGTCTGGGATCTCACATCCAGGCCCCGCCTTAGAGCTGTCAGGCCGCCCTCTCCTGAGGTCACATTTCCCAGAGAATCCGGGACCTCAGAGACCAGTGACCACAGGCCAGAGAGTCCAGGGAGCAATGACGGAAAGCCCGGAACCAGCGTCCTCGCCCCACGGGCTCGCTCTCCCCCCTCCTCCTGGCACAGACCTTCCCCACTCAGTGTGGTCCCAGGGACCAGCCCCTCCAACCCCAGAAAAGGAGGCTCATCATGGAAAGGGCACAGGCTTCCGAGTTAGATCAGCTCCATCCCAGGGGGACTGTGCCAATGGTCAGCTCAGACGGTTGCTCAGAGCACCCATAGCATAAAGGCAATTGTGTAGAAAGACCAGGACACCTACACCAGGGGTGGTGGGAAGACTGTCAGAGTTTACATGAAGACAGAATCCTGTCTGAAATAAACGGCTTCTCAGCATGTCATCCCCTCTTCACTTTCCCTTTCTCCTCAGTTCCCTCCACCATCAACTCAAGACCAATCCCACCCACTCACTGTGTGACCCTAAGTCCCTGGGAGGAAGCTGAGGCCCTGCCTGTGGCACCAGGTCAGCTGCCCGGATGCCAGGGTTTGCTGTGAGCCCTCCGCTCAGGCTCAGGACAGGGAGCCCTTTCCCCCAAATCTGACACCACAGACCTGCCGCACTCATTTCCCCAACCAGAGCCCCTTAGTTTTTAGTCCAGACAAGGTCTTGGGGACAAGTCCTGCTGTCTCCTCTTTGGAAAAACCATTTTCCTGTCACTGGCAGTGGCCATCTCTGCCCTCCCATTGGGACATCCCCAGGCTGGAGCCCCTGAGATGGCCATGTCCTCACCTTGTCACCAGAAGGCGGACATGAGAACATACCAGCTCCCTTTTCCAAAGAGGAAATGCTGATCACAGACTATTCTCAGGTCATAGCCCCCCACGCCCCAGCCAAGGGTCCCTCAGAGCCC